ACCTGCGGATGTGAACCGCGACCCTGACCCGATGGTTGGATGCGCTGGCATTCACCCGCTGAAATGGTAGGAGGAACCATTGGAGGTCCCACAAATAGAGCCTGGCCTAGGGAACTATGGCTATGGGCCATCTTTCCCAATAGTTAGGAGAGTAAGACCAATGGAACGGTACGGTCCCTGTACCCCTGGCGAGCCAGGTCCCTGATGCTGACCAGTCGCTCCTGGGAGAGATAGACCGTGCAGTTTGTGGTGTCTATGACAGCTCCCAGGTGCAAAAGCCTGGATGAGGGAACTGTCTGGCTTTTTTGAAAACTGACCGAGAAGCCATGTTGTTGAAGGACCTGAATGGTGTGTTTCAGGTTCGCCTGAGCTGCCTGGAAGGATGACGCTTGGATCAGGATGTCGTCCAGGTAACACTGGACGCGTATTGGTACTTTCCGCAACTGGACGGCTAGTACGGCCAGGATCTTGGTGAACACCCTGGGTGCCGAGGAAAGGCCGAAAGGAAAGGCCTTGTACTGGAAATGCCTGCCCCTGTAACAGAACCTGAGGAACCACTGGTGAGCTGGATGGATAGGGATATGGAGGTACACTTCTGTGAGGTCTATTGACGCCAGGAAGTCTCCCTGTCTGAGGCCTCCCAGGATGGACTGGAGTAACTGCATCTTGAACTTTTTGTAAGTGATGTAATAGTTTAGGTCTTTGAGGTCCAGAATCGTTCTCCACCCCCGAGGCCTTGGGAACCACAAAGAGGATGGAATAGAATCCCCCTCTCCTGTGGTCCGGCGGTACCGGTTCTATGGCCTGAATCTCTAAAAGATATTGAATAGCTTCCTGCATAAGTCCCTGTTTGAGTGGATCCCTGGAAACGGATCAGGCAATGAATCGGTCCTGGGGCTTGGCTAGAAACTCCAGGGACAGACCAAACTGGATGGTTTGTAAGACCCAGTTGTCCCTGGAAGTGAGTTCCCACTGGTGGAAGAAGTGGGCCAGCCTTCCCCCAATGGGAAGAGCAATGTAAGAGTCACTTGGACCTCCTGTAGGGGCATCCTGCCCCTCGAAATGGCCACTTAGACTGGCTCTGCTGTCTGGACCGGAAACCTGGTCTGTCATAAGGACAGTCATATGGTCTCTCCTGTCTGGGAGTGTATGAGTGGGAGGGCTGAGTAACTGTTGGACCTGCTGCCGGCTGAAAGGACTGCCTACGAAAATATGGAGCGGGACGTTTATCGGGCCTTTTGTTCAAGTGAGCCATGACCTTCCGCTTGTCCTTGTTTTCCACAAGGTATGGAGCCAGGGCCTCCCCAAATAAATTATTGCCCACATAAGGAGCAGTCGCTAGATGCCATTTGGCCTTGGTGTCAGCCTGCCAGTGTTTCAGAGACTGAATGAATGCTAGAGACCTAGAGGCAAAGTTGGCCAACTGTAGTGTTGCATCTGCAGTGTACTCAGTGGCTGCCACCGTTTTGCTTAGGTCCTGGTGGGTCCGAATGTCCTCAGCAGCGACACTGGCCTGAAGCTGACAAAGCCATAAAAGGGTAGTCCGGACAAAAAAAGGATGCACAAGTGCCGTTTTAATTGCCCATGCTGCTGACTGATGGGTCTTCCAGAATGTTTGGTCCCATTTTCTGTCGTCCGCTTTGAGTGCCTCCGACATGTCCCCAGCGACCGCAGTCTGGGATACCAGAGGGGTCCAGGCTTCGTCTACCTTGGGGACCTCCAGTGCATCAGTGAGGTCTGTGGAGGTGCTAAATATCTTTTTGTCAGTCCTGCTTATGGAAGGGAAGGAGGAAGGAGAGGCCTATTGTTTCTTGATCCCTTTAAGAAAAATAGAGGGGCACGGAACGTGATGTTGGGTTGCCACCATTTCAAAAAATATCGGATTTGGGCTGGAATCCGATGTTGCCTGCGGCTGAAGGAACTGATCGGACCCTATGTTAGCCGTCGATGTGGCCTTGCGAAGCAGTGTAAGAAACAGGGCTGGATTGAACAGGCCTCCCGAAGGGGAGGGCTCAGGGGGAAGTTCCTCCTCCTCTGACAAATTAAAGTCCAGCTGTTCCTCACCTTGCGGGGAAGAGTAGCCGCTCAAGGAGGAGTATGTGGGAGACGTGGGCTCCTGAAGTATAGGGAGCCCCGTAGGAGGAACATAAGGTGGCATGGCTGATGTGGAAGCCCCCTGATCAGGTGAATGGAAGGACCATTCTGCTAAAGCTCGGTCCACAACTTTGGTTAGCAAGACCTCAAGGCGGCTGTCGGAGAAAATGTCTCCGATGTCCGGTCCCCTGAGTCCTGCAGCCGTAGGAGTGAAGGTGGCCTCTGGGGCTGGACCTGGAGCTGTTGTTGTATGTTGAACCAATATGGAAGGCGAGCTAAGTGTGACAGGCATCCCTGTGAGGGACCACACGCCTTGAGCCAAAGTTGAAGGGCCTAAGGGAAGGTCAAATTCAGGGACTGCCAATTGATCCGTCTCTAATCTGGCCTGCCTCTGCACTCTGGAGAACTCCTTCTCCAGAGCCTGGTGCCTACGGCTGGCTTGCTTTTCCGCCAACTTGGAAGACTTCTTGAGTGTGGTCTTAGTCTTAGATTTGGGCTTGCCTGCCGCCTCCTGTTCGGAGGATTTGTGGCAGCCATAACTGGATGGAGAGACAGTGCCCATGGGGTGAGGCATCATGGAGTCCTCCATCCTGATTGAGCAGTCTCAGGGAAGCTGAGACGAAGCTCTGGCAGGCAAGCAGTTAGCGGAAGCGGAACTGGAACAAGTAACAAGACTGCTTCTCTGACCACCTGACCAGAAAAAAATTCTCTCTGGGCTTTGGTCACGGCAATTGAGTCAGATGCTGAAGGCACGTTTGGGGTCACTCTCTGGGCTCCGCCCGGAGGTCTTAGGTGGCCAGTCAATGTGCACCAGCAAAAAAGGAAAAACGCCCCAAGAGTGCTCAGAGGTCTGAAAGGGACAAAGAGGTCCTGGCAAAGGAAGGATCAGATCTCAATTGGCGGCTACACAATTTGTATTTATATTGTAGAAGTGTGGTAATATAGAGAGACACCCCCAGATGTGGCCTAGATCAGGTCAACTTCTATGAGTAGGCCTCATTGGGCCTAAAGAATCCCACACGTGGCATTAAAGATGGCCACTCAACTACAGTGAGTAGGCCTCGTTGGGCCTATAGAGGTCCCCATGTGGCTTTTAGTATAGCGGCCTTCAGGAGGTGATCCCACAATTTGCGCCCAGGGGAAGCAGCGAATTTGGAAATTAAAGCCCTGAAAGGACTGTGTAAACTGGGCCACTGATAGGACTGCAGCGCTGGAAAAGCCTAAAGAGGTCGTTCGTGGCTCCCTGTCCTTGTCGGAGGCCCCAAAATGGTGGCCACGACTCGTTCCCTACTGAGAACGGTCTCCGTGGCCTTAACAGTAAGATCCTGGTGCTGGGGCAATCGCGGTGGCAGTGCTAGCCGCTGCGCCGAAAATAAGCTTATGGGACTGCCTACAAACAGCAGGCAAACAAATGAGACTTAAATCGGCTTCGTTGCCTGTAACGGCAACCAAAATGGCGTCTGCGACTGTCCCTGGCTGCCTGAAATGTTTCCGATGGTCTGAATTCAAGAACTGAATTTCAGACCTGCACCCTGCAATAAAGCACCAGCAACGAAGGAAGAAAAAAAAGTGGGGGGAGAGGAAAGTGGGATACGTTCCGAGCAGCCCCTGTTTGTGAGTTTTCTCCAGAGCCCTGGGGAAAGGAAAGTAGGAGAGCTGCAAAAGCCTCCCCTCCCCACCCCACACACGTCAATCACGATTGAGTTAGTACTGAGCCCAGTGCTTGTAGGGAAATTTTGTTAAAGGGGATTCCAAATTATTGTTTTATTAAAATATTAAGGATAACTAAAGGAAGGAGAATTCACCAATGGAGTTTTCTAACCTGCTATCTGCTGAGAGCCAAACCTGATACGTCTTCAAGAGCTGAGACCAAGTTAAGACTGGATCTCCTAGCAAGAGGCGGCATGTCAAGTTTGGCTACTTGGTCTCAAGAGCAGGCAGACAGAGAAAATCCCTTGGTAGATTCTCCATCTCCTGTACTGGAGAAAATAAGGAGATGCCTGGTATTACAATCTCAGGAGCCCAAGAAAACCCAGCGTAAAAGGGGTTTTCTCTCACAAACATTTTTACAAGCATTTGTTCTACACTTCTGCCACTTCTTCCCACGTGGTTTTTTTTTTTTTAAAAAAAAAAAAACAACTGTGGAAAAAACCGATTGCTGAATTCTGTTCACAATCAGTGGTATGCTAGTAAATGTCTCATTCAGGAGAAAATGTTGATCTTTGGTAAAAGTGAGAGGAGCATTTCATCATAAAGCTTCACATCCATTGTAGCTAACAAGTCCTCTCCCATTTGCCTGATCCTGGCAATAGCCAAGGCAGTGTTCGTAGTAGAGGGAAAGAGTAGTATGCAAACAAAAGGTCCCATTACTCCAATTATACACAAAAGATTTCACAGTTACACATGAGTTGCGTGTGAACCTACCCCTTAGAGAGCATATGTGGTCAAGAGGAATAACTATTGCTTGTATATTACTTCTGGCTTAGTAGGACTAAGAATTTGGGACTCACCTTTTCTAGGTTTGAATTCTTTCATCTAGTTCTCAGAATTGTTGGGGCTATCTTTCGCATCACATTGGCTTGGCAGTTATATGTGTTTTCACAATGAGTCTTGCTTAGTCATGTTGCTTTACAGGTTAATCCATTGAAATTGCTACTCCATCCATTCACACACACTCCCAATCCCTTCTCTACTTCTGTTTTTAGTGATCCCTGGCAGCACAAAAATAGGCTCCCTCCCATGCCACCTGAACCAAGCAGCAATCACTCAGCAGCCTAGGTTGCTTCCACTTTCTGCTGATCTTGGAGGATTAAGGATAACGTCAGACAGTGATACAGGGACTCCAAAAAGGGCACGGGGGAAGGGGGAGAGGAGTTGAGAAAGAAGCCATGTAGATCCAAACTAACCTTTAAAATGTGAATTCTGAGTTGCTGGTGTAAACTGAGTCCTGATGATGTCAGCACAAATGGAAGATTAGTACAAAAACTGCCTAGAAAAAAGAAAATGAAAAAGATAAGGGTCTTCTATAACTGGGTTTTTTTTAAGTGTATTACATACGTGTGTACCACTTCTTAAGTCACTGGATGACTTTGATACTTGCTTTTCCAGTACACAGGCCATTTTCCTTCAGACTTATAGGAAAACTAAATTGATTTGTTTTAATTTAGTATTGGCAAAGCTCTCGGAATAAAGCCCACAGGAAAATGACACCTGCCTCAGAACCACACAATGTTTATGATTTGTTTTTCTATTAGCCAAAAAGAATCAGCTACCAGAATTCATACTTTGAAATCTACAACAGCAATTTGTAAAGCTTACAGCCATATAAGGATGTAATATACAAGCACTGCAAATATCTAGAGAAAACTGAACAGCTTACAGCCTTTGGGATAGACCTACAATGTGATGGAAAACAAAACTTGATAAGCTAAGCCAAAAAAAATAATAATAATAATTGAGAAATATTGGTGCCTGGTACTTGGTGCATCATTTTTGTACCAGCAACGTACAAGCAAAACATGCAAAATATTTTTCACTGACATTATAAATTCACAAGTAACTCAGATCATAAGAGGCTTTAGAAATTAAACCCCACACTGCACCTCTGGAATTCAAAAGTTTTTGTATCTTCAAGATACATTTTCCAAAAATTTCAGCACTGACTTGAAAGATATAGGCAAAAGATAGCATCACATCCCTGTTCTTATTGATTTTAAAGAAAAAAAGCATTTGGTTCATTCATTTTGAACCATTTTATGCCATCCCCTCAAAGTAGTCCCTGAATAAATAAATATTTCTGATGCACAGTGTCAGCCTAAGTTCCATTTCTTGATGATGTTAACCTGACTAAACTCTGGAGATTTTTTTTTAATAAAGTAGCCTTCTTTTCAATTCAATTTACTTAGAATTTATAAGTAAAATGATAAAACTGTTGATTTTCACATCCATAGCACTTACAGATGATGGCAGAAAGTGTAGCCCAATACATTTTAAAAGAGACAACTTGGAGAACATTGTATTGTTTCCAAAACAACAGGAGTTCTACTACCAATGATCTCTTAAATCAAAGAGATAAAAAAAATGGAAATTAAGACCTTATATATGCAACGCCAGTCCAATTACAGTATCAGAGTCCCTCCTTTGAGTCCATAAAGCAAAGCGGCTTCCACTCAACATGTTGCTTCACAGCCTGTATTGTTCAATCAACTGTCAGACTTATCTTTATCTGCTAAGAGAATGCCAGAAAACAAGGGTTTGGCCCATTTCAGCCTGCTTTTAAGAACATGTCCAGGCAAACTAGAAATCAAGGTTTTCAAAGAGACATAGTTTGTAGGACTGCTAGCAGCATCGTGGACTGCACAAGTTAGAACAGCACTAGAATTTCAAATACACACACCACTACTTCAAGCAACAACTTATCAAAGTCAAACACTCTGTTCTATTAGTCCTTTACACTGTGGACTGTAGCAATTAATGGGGACATATAAAAGAACTTGCTTTCCTTACACATTATATTGTTCCTTTGGTGCAACCAGATGCAGACTTATCCTTTTTAACGTTAAGGCAAAACACCGCTGTTGCCTCTTCTGTGAAAAGAAACAATTCCTTGGATTAAGTTTGCTTACAAATGTTTACATGCCTTAGAAAGGCTTTTAGTGAACACACCATTTGGGGATTTAATTCTAAGGCTAACTGGTTTCCTGAAAAACCAATATACAGCTTTTTTTTTTTCTTTTGAGAGGAGAAATCTAGGCTGGACTTGGGCCTTAACATCTTCAGAATTCTACACTGTCAACTAAGCTTTGATATTACTACATAAAGTATTTGCAACTTTTTGTCATTGTTCCTTCACAACATTTGCTTACTATCCTGAAGCACATCTATTTTTTTTGTTGTTTACATAATGCTATTTTTCCCATTAGACAGATCTGATGTCAAAAATGCTAAACCAGAACAGATTCCTTAACGGTTTATTCTTTATCACTATTGCAGAGTTCCTCTTTCTCACTGCAAAACCACCTGGATTTATCTGCAACTTGCATCAGGACCGCTTGAAGAATACCAAAAAAATACCCTCACAGCAAGGAGAGAATTGCAGCTGTTTCAGCCACTCATCTCTATTGACTGGAGTAGCAGAGGCAATAAGAAAGAGACTGAAGCCCAAAAAACCCCCCAGGAAAATGAAGGAAAAATGCAAATCAACAGGTGTCTGTAGTCAAATTTTCTTTACTGGACTGTTGAAAGTTACAATGTTTAAATAGCTAATTTTTCATTCTGAGATCATTCAACAATAATAGGAACATACAGTGCTTTTTTGTCATAGAACGCACCGGAACAGCGTTCCGGCACCCTTTTCCAACGGATTTTCCAAGTTTTAAAAGTAACTTTTGAAAATTTGATGTTTGGTCCACATGGACAAATTGCCCTGTCGAGCATAGCAGGTCGGTGGCAAAAATCATTAAAATGATGCACGCGGACTGCTTGTGTGTCGAGTCCAATGCATGTGTACTACGTCTGTGCTGGTCGTGATGGCGCTGCTCGGCTTATGGCACTGCTCGGCTTGTGATTGGTCATGTGGTCGTGCACTGAGTGCTTACTGCGGGCAGTGACCGTTATGTTTTGTTACACAACTGACATGTGTGGGTGTGTGTACAGTGATTGACTATGTGCGAAAAGTAAATAATTTTTATTTTAAAAAATCATTGGAGAATTAAAAATCTTTTTTTAATTTTTAGTGTAAAATTTACTATGAACATCTGCCTTAAATATAATATATTAAATTTATGTTAAGAACTGAATAATTTTTTAAATAAAAGATTAACAAGATGTGAGTTCTGGCACCTTTTTTCTTACAAAAAAAGCACTGGGAACATATATACCAGGGGTGTCAAACTTCTGGCCCACGGGCCAGTTTCATCATACCGAAGCCACGCCCACCCCATTACCGGCACTGCAAAAAGAGTTGCGATACGTCGCAACACATCACGTGATGAGTTTGACACACGTGATATATATACCAAAAGCTAAAATCAGAACAGTGAATGTTAATGTGTGTGTGTGTGTGCATGAGTGCATATTATATATTTATATTGCATAGAAATTACAACTCAGAGACCTTATCCACAAAAAAGCTAAGTCAGAATCTTCGTAACAATAGCCTTTTCCAGCGTTAGCTAGGATATGTAGAAGGAAAACAATTATATTTACTGTAGTTTTTTTAATTTACAGTGTGATATTTGAGCAATTAAGGCTCAAAAATATTTTAGCAAACTTTGAAATAAAAAAAGGAAAACCAAACAAAAATAATCGTTTCCATGTCTGAAAATGATCTCTGTATTGAATGTACAGATTTGAAGGAAGTAACCTTTCTGTGATAGCTGATCCAACTTTGAAATATTTCAGATAATTCTAGAAAGAAAGTAGCAGATTACAGAATAAGGAACACAACAGGTAGGATGAAGGCGAACCATAACAGTGGTATCACAAGTCTAATTCTTACAGTTAGCTTTAAAAACACTGCACCCCAACTGTGGACAAACTGGGGGAATGCCACAGGGTACCAGTATGTAATGACAGACCCTGCCACATTCATGGCTTTCAGGTCCCAGTTTGACCATCACTTGGTCATGCAAATGCCAAGATTTGGAACATAATGGACATCCAAGGGACAATCAGTCTGGCTATTCTTGCTAAGCCACAGTGGAAACTAAAGAAGCTGTAATGCCCTGATGAAGGAAAAGCTGCAATTCAGTGATGTCAGAATTGTCTTTGGACATTTGCTCCTTGCACCTGTTAACTAGGAGGAGGGCAGGGAATCTCCTTTCCCACCCCTGGCTTAGGAGCCTGGCAAACAAGGGGAGGAAGGTTGATTCTGACCTTCATAGCCAAAGAGGCTTTTCTCCACAATTATAGACTAAAGCAACATGGTAGGAGCATATTTATGTAGCCACTTACACACTAAGTTAAGGCATTTTTCCTCACTAATTGACAGGGGAGGAATTAAAGTGCATAGTATTCAGGCACCACGAATTAACCAATGCTCACTTTTCTCTGTTTTTATACTTTTCTCTGTTTTTATGATCTTTAATCATCCTCAAGTTCTTTTTTGCCTTATCTTTTCAACCACAAATCTTTCTGTGGAAAATCTTTCCAGGGATCTCCAAAGAGAAAAAGCAAGGGCTGCTTCTAAACTTTTGATTTTCTTCAGACTCCCCATCAAAAGCCTCTTTAAGCTCATTAACAATGCATAAACCTCACCACTCCCCCCCAAAAATAAAATCTCTCCATCCCAGGAACTACAAATAGCATCCAAATACAAATCAAGTGACCAATGGCTGACCGCAAAGATATTCATGTGGCAATAGTCAGTGATCCAATTTTTGACTCACTCCAAAAACAAATATGGAACTGTCTGGAATAAAGGAGAAAGTCAAACTTCCGTAAGTCAAAAGAAGAGCCAGCAAATGAAGTGAAGCTGTGAAAAACAGAGGCTTTCAGTTATGAAGTTCAGCATCCATCAGGGCATTTTCATCCTCTTTTTGTGGTATTTTTTGTGTATTGTGTAATTTGGCGTTTAATAAATAGAATACAGCCTTTTAGTTGACACCTGAATTCCTTCTACTATTGCTTTGCTTCCCTCACACCAATTTAGTGATTGATTGCAATAAACAAGACAAACACATCATGGAATCAAAAGAGGTGGTAGCACTTAACCAATCCCGGCTGATCTCAGAAAACCTACAAAGTGTGGAAACTAGTTGATAGTTCCATTTTGGAAATTGGGAGAATTTCTAAGATGGAAAACAGCTGCAGAAGATGGAAACAGCAAATTCCTTTTCTTTGTAGTCTTCGACTTATAACCACAATTGAGCCCAACATTTCTGTTGTTAAATCAGACATGTTTTTTTTAATTTTTTTTATTGAAAAGTTTTATACAAATTTTAATACAATACAATATCCCCCCTACCTCCCCCCCACCCTAACCCTCCC